ATGTACAATATAAGGTGACCTCTGGTCCCCCTACTGATGTAAATATAGGTGTCCTCTGGTCCCCTACTGATGTACAATATAAGGTGTCCTTTGGTCCCCCTACTGATGTACAATATAAGGTGACCTCTGGTCCCCCTACTGATGTATGATAAAGGTGTCCTCTGGTCCCCCTACTGATGTACAATATAAGGTGACCCCTGGTCCCCCTACTGATGTACAATATAAGGTGTCCTCTACCCCTGGTCCCCCTACTGATGTAGTAATATAAGGTGTCCTTTGGTCCCCCTACTGATGTCCCCTACTGATGTACAATATAAGGTCCCTGGTCCCCTACTGGTGCACAATATAATGTGTCCTCTGGTCTCCTTTTTGATGTACAATATAAGTTGACCCCTGGTCCCCCTGCTGATGTACAATATAAAGTGTCCTCTGGTCCTCCTACTGATGTACAATATAAGGTGACCTCTGGTCCCCCTACTGATGTACAATATAAGGTGACCCTGGTCTCCCTACTGGTGTACAATAAAAGATGTCCCCTGGTTCCCCTACTGATGTACAATATAATGTGGCCTCTGGTCCCCCTACTGATGTACAATATAAGGTGACCAATGGTCCCCCTACTGATGTACAATATAAGGTGACCTATGGTTCCCCTACTGATGTACAATATAAGGTGACCTATGGTTCCCCTACTGATGTACAATATAAAGTGATCTATGGTCCCTCTACTGATGTACAATATAAGGTGACCCCTGGTCCCCCTACTGATGTGCAATATTAGGTGACCTCTCGTCCCCCATATGATGTACAATATAAGGTGTCCTCTGGTCCCCCTAATGATGTACATTATTAGGTGACCTCTGGTCCCCCTACTGATGTACATTATAAGGTGTCCTCTGGTCCCCCTACTGATGTACAATATAAGGTGACCAAGGTCCCCCTACTGATGTACAATACAGGGTTACATCTGGTCCCCCTATTGATGTAATGTGTAGTATTGTCCTCTGGTCCCCTACTGATGTTCAATATAAGGTGACCACAGGTCCCCTACTGATGTACAATATAAGATATCCTCTGGGTGACCTACTGATGTCCCCCCACTGATGTACAATATAAGGTGACCCCTAGTTCCCCTACTGATGTACAATATATTGTCCTCTGGTCCCCCTACTGATGTACAATATAAGGTTACCTCTGGTCCCCCTATTGATATACAATATAAGGTGACCTCTTGTCCCCCTACTGATGTCCCCTACTGATGTACAATATAAGGTGCCCTCTGGTCCCCCTATTGATCTAAAGTGTAATATAAGGTGTCCTCTGGTCCCCCTACTGATGTACAATATAAAATGACCTCTGGTCCCCCTACTGATGTACTATACAGGGTTACCTCTGGTCCCCCTATTGATGTACAGTGTAATATTAAGTGTCCTCTGGTCCCCTACTGATGATCAATATAAGATGACACATTTCCCCTACTGATGTACAATAAAAGGTGACCTCTGGTCCCCCTACTGATGTCCCCTACTGATGTTAAATATAAGGTGTCCTCTGGGTCCCCTACTGATGTACAAATATAGATGATTACTGGTCTCCCTACTGATTTAGAGTATAATATAACTTTTGTTCCCCCTTGTTATTTGCTGATTATAAGGTTTCCTCTGGTCCCCCTACTGTTATTCAATTAAAGGTGACCTCTGGTCCCCCTACTTATGTACAATATAAGGTGATCCCCGGTCCCCCTACTGATGTACAATATAAGGTTTCCTATGGTCCCTCTACTGATATACAATATAAGGTTACCTCTGGTCCCCGCAGTGATGTACAAAAAAAAGTGGCCTCTGGTCCCCCATATGATGTAGAACAGAAGATGACATCTGGTCTCCCTTTTGATGTACAATATAAGGTGACCTATGGTCGCCCTAAAGATGTACGATATAAAGTGACCTCTGGTCTTATTAACTTTTTATTACCTCTGGTATTCGCATAAAGATTATGGAAACAAGCGGAAGTCTTATATTGTCCATCAATAAGGATTTCATACTTCACAAATTGTAGTATATGAATGAGACAAAGGTAATCTTATGTTGTACATTATTACGATGTTATTGAAAGTTGTAAGTAGGCAATAATTTAAAATCATGGTATGTGTAGAATTATTTTTCAAATCCTCTCAAAAAAAGAATTGCGACCCTAATTTTTTGACCGAGGAAAAAGTGCACAATTTCTCCGAATTCTCTAAATGTACATGTATGTAATTGGAATTTGGAGGATTAGTCAACTTGCTTGTCTTCAAATACAGTATATGTATCCCAAAGTTAAATAACAATTGGTGCATTTTTTAAATTTTATTTCCTTTTTTAATGTAGTTTTGATGGGTTTATGAATTTGATGTGTTAATTCCAGGGAAAGGGGAGGAGAACTCCATGCAGCCCCAAACTTTGCAATACAGGGTGTACATCTTCTTTGTAAGATAAATAAAAATCAGGGATTTCCGGCAAAGAGTGTTAAAGTGATGAGGTCGCCTATTTAAGCATGACCTCATAAGGAAGACAAAAGAGACATTAAATAATTTATTAACAAATAATTATTCCATTATGTTAAAGGATTGGTGAAAAGTCCGAGCGAAATGAAAAGGGGGTGGTAGGGGGCAAAATCTTCACCCCCCCCCCCCCCCTGCTTGTTAGAGATCTGCGAATGCAGAGATTTGACGTACGTCGTTTACTCTGAGTCGCTTACTATTAGTAAGGAGATCAGAAGTTAGGCACTGTGTTATATAGATACTATAACCTTACATGGAATAATAAAATCATAGGGGAGACCACAGGTCACCCAACATAATCCATAAATGTTAAACTCTAATATATCATATATCTTATAATATTGCAGTTAATGTTGCTCAGCAACCCCCCTCCCCCTCTTTGTTTTCTAATACCCATCACAGATGGTTATTCCCTTGACAAAAACAAATTTTCTGTTTTTTTTTTACACTGAAAAGGCTTCACAGTATTACGATTTATTCTATTTTCACTTTACGTATGCAACGCACTACATTTTGTAGCGGAGTAAACAGACCCGATAGACGTGAACTGCGCGGGGGACCTAAGGTCCTAGTTCAGCGTACGTTTTTGTAAACATAATCTCAAAATATTAATTGTAAAACACACTAGATTTTCAAAAAGGTTACAGTGTATGTGGTCGTTGTTTAAAATCGTGCATTGAACAGTTCGCCTGTCAAATAGTTAAAAATATAGAAATATTAAAAAGATACTATAAATGATCAAGATAAACTTATCATTTAAACCCACACTGCTGATTTCTGAGTGAGGGACAGTAAAGTTCATCTTTTGAAGATGGTTCATTGTTCAATAATTACATTTCCAATGTCTTTGTACAAGATAAAATTACAAATATTTTATGTACTTTATTTCTCCGTCAATGTTCTGGTTCATCGATGGGCGCGAATAAAAAAAAAATCACAGGGCAGGACAAATAGAGACAAGAAACGGGGGTTTTAGCACGTGGATTGGAGGAATCAATACCATGTAAATATAAGGAATAACTTAGATTTTTCGATTTCATGACAATGATCAATCGATTGGCTTGCGTGATAATTTTATGCGTAAACGCCTTCGGCGTATATCAATATATTACTCATTATGAATTCAATATTGTCACGGACTTCATTTAAAATTCACTTGAACGTATTGAAAATCTGCTACTCTAGGAGATGAAAAAGATAAATGCACTTTTTTCAGTGACATTTAATTTTTTTTATTGTGTATATCTGCAAAGCATCATTGCTACAATGAGAAGCACTAATAGAGCGGAATATTTCGGTGTCTAATTTTGTAGGATATTACGTACATCGATTTGATCCAAACTGACTAAAAATTTAATGTACACGACTTGTTAATTTTCTCCTAATTCCCAATACTACCATAAAGATATGAAAAGGTCATTTTCTTTCAAGACATTTCTGAAGATCTAAACCATAGTTAAAGATTTTTTCCTAAAGTCCTAAAACTATGTTATCAACAATTACGTTTTACAATAGACTTATTTTTATTAATTATATTAAATTGATGGAGATACCGCACAGTATTCAAACTCAAAAGTCCGTTGAACAATGCAAATTTTGGAGTAGAGCAAATATGAACATCCAAAACATCAGAAATGGCATCAAGTGCAATGGAGTAATGCTGACCGTTCCACTGCTGACCGGTCACATCGGCGGTGTGCTTCTTGTCATGATCGGGGATCACCGGAAAAATCCTTCGACAATTAAGTGTGTAGATAATGGCTTACAATTAGTGTGAAAAGTGTTAGTCAGAATTCAAGTAAATGATAGATTGTATTTGCTGACAGGGTCATTTTATCTACCATACAACTAACGGAATTATGACTTTAAGCGAGACTGTTGATATTCTTGTTTTATCAACTTGTTTGTCAACAACTTATCTTGTTTTAAAAATTGTTTATTCTTTTAGCAGTTTGAACGTTTATTACTTATTATGTTCCCCCAATGACTTGAAAGACCATGACTTGAATCCACACCAGAAGAGTTTTGAAGAATCCTATACTATCATTGTTATTTTAATTATTTAATTAATAAGGAACTACCCCTTGAAATGGGTTAAATATGCCTGAAAATATTATTTCGCAGAAGTGAAAGAGATTTTGAGAAAAATATATTTCAAATCATATTAAATTTTCACTAGCATGAATTTGTAGATGCGAGGAATAAATAAACCTAAAAAACGGGTATTCATATTCAATCCGTCTAATACATAATTTATGTATTCATCATCTAAAATTCATCAAATAGAGGAGAGAAAGGCGATAGATATTGATATTTATTTGTTCAATCCATATTCCTAGTATTAAGAATGTTTTTAAAATTTTTAAAAGGGGTAACATTTTTTCCACAACGTAAGAGTTGATAATTCGCCGCGATGCGGTACATGTAACCATGCAGTGCTGAAAGTAAATCTAAATAATTCTTATATCATTTATCTTATTAATTTACATAGAAAATAGAGTTCATATTTGAAATATTGAAGAGGACACTCATAATGGAAAGGCTCCGAAAACACATTCAGGTAATATATTTTATTTCATGATTTATGGAAAAAAAAATAACTATGCTTTAAAAAATGATTAATTTAGACGTGAATTAGCCAACAATAAACTCAGTTCTTACTGATAATAAGAAAAAATGTATGATAGTTTTTTTTAAATATTTAAATTATACATATATTGATATGACATGTTAGGCCATCATTCGATTTGTTGCTTTTGAAAGCAAAAAAGATTGCCGATTACTATTATGTATGACCCCTTCGAAGAAGGAAGGGTATATTTCTTAGCTGCTGTCTGTTGGTCTACCAAGTTGCCGTTCATTTTCTTCGCAACAGTTGCACATACTGAAATGAAATTTGGTATACAGACTTATCATGAGAATATCTTGGTCAAGTTTGGCTTTACAGGGTACGATCGAGCCATTTTTGATAGAGTTGGACCTTGGACTTACAAAAAATCCAATTATTTGCAGTGTCCGTTCATTTTCTTTGCAGCAGTTGCACATCCTGAAATGAAAATGGTATACAAATTTATCATGAGAATTTCTAGGTCAAGTTCGGTTTTGGTTACGATCGAGTCATTTTTGACAGAGTTATGCCCTTTGGACTTAGAAAAACTCCAATTATTTGCAGTTTCCATTCATTTTCTTCGCAGAGTTTGCACATACTGAAATGAAATTTGGTCTACAGATTGATAATGAGAATATCCAGATCAAGTTGTGTTTTAGATACGATCGCTCCTTTTTTTGACAGTGTTATGCCCTTTTTGACTTAAATAATTCCAATTTGGGGGAAAGAGGGCATAAGTGTTTTACAAACATCTCTTGCTACATGTATGTTTAAGGATTTAAAAAAAAAAATTTCACACTGATTGGTGTTTTTGTTCATTGGCTTTATCTTGACCAGGAGCTCAACCTGGTATAATCTATTGAAAGGTATAACCGGTAAAAATGGTGGAGGCTTACAGTACACAGAGCATGCTTTTGAACTTCGAATAAGATTAGAGACGTAAATACCACTTACAGCTGATGAAAGAATATTACTGTATGAAATATGGAGATAACTAATACTGTAAATTCCTAAATATACGCGTGGAATTAATTATCGCGTAATTTCGCGAGAAGCACCACACGCGAAATTAAATTACTCGCCTTTATTTTTATGGTGCTGAAATCTATGTTAAAACTCTTGATCGACCGTCCATTTGTGAATTCTTATTCTTGCGATTTGCTGTTGAAGAGCCCATTCGCGATAAAAAGTACTCGCGAAAAATAAGGAATCTACAGTAGTATTCAGCTCAAAAGTTTAAACAAACGATACATATCAGGAGAAGACAAAAACAGACCTCTAGAACACAAGAGGTAGGATCAGGTTCTATGGAGGAGCAATCCCTGCCAAGCATTCACACCAGCCGTGTGCTCCTTGACTTGATCGTGAATAAGGAAAGATCCGTAGACAATTCATAGGGTAATTAGTAGCCCAACAACTGTTCTGAAAAACGATAGTAAGCATTTAGCTGAAAGCTGACAAGGGCATTTTATCAACATTAGAACTTCTGAGATGATTACAAAAAAATACACCTCTTAAAGGTGTAAAAAAAATATCGAGATAACGATCCTTATTCAAGCTTAAAGTCCATTAAACAATACAAATCAGGAGCAGAGCATACACGGACCTCTAAATTGTCAGAAGTGGAATCAGGTGCCTTGGAGGAGAGAGCATCCCCTGTTGACCGGTCACATCCGCTGTGTGCTCCTTGTCATGATCGGAAAGTTTTTCATATTTACTGTTAGGCCATTGTTCACATAGTGAGCATTTGACTAAATAATAGATTTACCGCCGAGGTCATTTTATTGACCACATAACCTCTAAAATAATGACGCTCTTGCGTTTCGAATTCACTGAGAGATATACATGTTAACACCGTATGCACGTGACAGAACACAATTCCTTATATAAAACTTCAAAAAATTTAAATGTGTTCATTAAACGTTTACTCGAAATGGGTGGGGGAAGTCTCCTTATATCCAGTTTTTACCCATTATTTTATAATTACGGATCTATGAATATGGGTGTAACATATAATTAGGGTGTAATACTCAATTAAATCATTTAATTTATACTTTTTCCTGTAGTTTAACACCAAAAACATGGAAAGAATTATTTTGAAATCATGTAATTCTGATGAGTTCTGACTTCTGTTATTACATCTTCCACTTCAATTATTACAGAAAATCGTAGATAAACGAAAAGCTAAAAAAGAGAAATATGATTCAGTGAAGGATGTCTTTCACTCACTGGGCGTTCAAACAAGTCTACACGGCATTCCAAGAATTCTCTCATCCAAGCACTGGTATCAACGAGGTCTTTGGACGTGTCTGGTTCTGGTGACATTTGGATTTTTGGTACACCAGATTTATCAACTGGTTGACGAATACACCAACTATCCTATTAAAACAAAAGTATCTATGAAGAGGGATACTCTGCGATTCCCTGCTGTCTCTCTCTGCAACATGAATCCAGTGAAATATTCATCGTTATCACTTATCAATGGATCTGAGCTCAAAAATATTATAGACCCTGTACCCGAAGAGAGGAAAGTATCAAATCTAAATAATATTGCCAACGAAGAGGTAACAAGTGCGAGTCCATTTCGGACGACAAGTTTAACAAGTTCGAGTCCACTCTGGACGACAAGTTCCCATGATAATGGAAGTACAAACCATTCGGACTACAGCTATTATGATGATGACTGGTATTATTGGTGGTGGTGGGACTATTGGTTCAATGATTATTATTTAGATCTCAATAGTGACCAAGATGATTCCTATCGTCAATCAGCCAGCGACTTTGGAGATTATCTGGAGAATCAAAGGGCCTGGGAAAACGATGAATGGAGCGAAAAAATTGAATATTTTAAATACCTCTTCCAAAACCAGTCAAAGTAAGTCTGTTCATGACATTATTGTATTTCTCTTCATGTTATTATTTAACGTAATATTTTTGACGATATTGAAATGACTTACCAAGCATAATAAGAGGAATTTAAAGTTTCAAGCCTTGCAATCATAACAGATTTATTATAATAAAGGTTTTAAAAGCCTCAATTTCGGGTAGATTTTTCCTTTTTCTTTTTTTTGAAATAAATAAGCAATAGGTATTTACTTTTTCAGGGACACCCGGAAAGAATTGGGACATTTGATTAAAGACATGCTAATATCTTGTTCCTTTAATGGAAAGAAATGCTCAGCAGAGTAAGTTGATTTTATTTCTCACTAGTAGTCTTACCGACCCCATCCCTCTCCACATAAAATAACTAGTGCTGGGCTTTTAAGGTCAAGATCTAAAGCTAAACTTATAGAGATCATTAAACAATTTTTTTCCTCAAATTTGATAAATTTGTAGGCATTTTTCATTTAATAGATCTTGACCTTAAGGCAAAATATAGGCGAAGATGATTTTAAGATGCACTGTTTGTAAACATTCCTTTTTTCTACATTGTATGCGCTCATGAAAGTCCTTCCTAAATTTCATCAGCTGTTCAAATTCACTCGATAGACAAAAAAAAAACATAAAAAAAACAAACAAACAAACAAAACAAAACAAAACAAAAAAAAAATCTATTAATAAATTATTGCCTTCTGCAATTGTGGAAAATTGCACTTTTTATTTTGCGTTCTGGAAATAAAATAATGTGATGCTTAAAAGACCATGAGTCCATGATAACTAGCAATACACCCGCTTTGATATAAATTTGTTATGGACAGACGCTTGGTTAAACAGGAGGTTAACATAGGAATTCATACAAAATTAATTTTACCATAGTTTCTGCCTAAACAAAAAGTCTGCTTAAATGTTGAGCATCTGTGATAATCAGTTACTAAGTGCGTCTTCCAAATATTATGCAATTTTAAGATAATGACTTTATGTTTATGATGTTTATGAGTATTTAAAGTGTTATATCCCTCTGATAAGAGAAATATTTTCTTCACATTATGCTTTGACATATTATTCACTTCTGAAAAAGTAAGCAACGCTTCATGCTCCAAACGATTTTCCATGTGAATTTAATGCTATTGTTGTTGATGAAAGTCAATGCTTGGAATAAAAAAAAAAGGGATATTTCACCTGTGTTAGTTAGGTTTCTAAATGTCTCAACATACATTTAAATAATTTTCAAGTAGCTCAAATCAATAGCAAAACTGATTAAATCAATTCATTTTTAATATTAAATACGGAGCGGTCTTATCGCCCGATTGTATAGTTTTTTTGCAGAAGAATAGAGTTTTTGTTATCAATTTTGCTTAACTTGTTTACTTTAAATACATTTTATCTTTTATCCTCGTGATTCCATAGTATGGAAAGCCGTAGGGTACCCCCACATTATTATTATTTTTTCCTATATATCTATACCAAAAATAATTATGTCATCGAAACTTGCTTTTTACAACATTATTATTATTTTCCTGCAACAATTATAATCTTCTCTGTTAAATGTGTACACATTATTATAATTGTGTCCTACAAATATAATGATTCACTTCACAACAATAATCTTGCCAGTCAATATGTAGACACATTATTATAATTTTTCGCCTGATGATTATAATATTGTCAGTCGATGTTTATCACATTATAATTATTTTGTCCTACAATTATAATGATCCAAACTTTACAATAATAATCTTGCCAGTCTAGTCTATGTGGACACATTATTATAATTTTTCGCCTCATGATTTTTAAAAACATTATTTTTATTTCACCACAAAATTATAATAATTATTCCTACTTTACAATGATAATCTTGTTTGTCCACAAGTATACACATTATTTTTATATTTACAATGATAATCTTATTTTTCCATGTATACACATTATTTTTATTTTCAACATACAATTATAATCTTTTCACTTCATATGTGTGTACACATTATTTTATTTCGCTTCAAATTTTTTTCTTTTATATTTCCACTGAAACAATTGAACAGAATTATTATTTTTATTTCCGCTCAATAATCTTGTTCATCACAGCCATCATACAATAATTATAATCTGTGGTACTCCAACAACAATAATAATCGCGACCAGAAAAAAAGATGCAACATTATTATTATTTAGACGCTTGACAAAACCAAACGTTTGTATGATTCTGATGCGCAGTACAATTATAATCTTGACTTTTACAAATTTCTGGAAAGATTATTATTATTTGGACGCTTGACAGAATCAAACATCCTGTGGATGCAGATCACCACGTGCAATCAAACCACGTGAAGCATAGCGTTGACAGCACCCTACTGAGCAAGGACTACTGATAAACTGACAAATTGCTTATCGTATATGGAAAGAGGTAAGGCTCATGTAGGAACCGGGGATTTTATTTAACTTTGGGGGGGGGGGGGCTTATCAAGGAATGGTTGGTAGTTGATAGTCAACTGATAATATATGGCTGCATCCCTCTCCGAAAAAAAAGTTTAGAATCTCTCTCTCCAAATAGCCCCTTTGGAGTATAAAATCCCGTATGGACTTTTTATTTTGAACTGCTGAGAAATCAAATCTCCTAATCAATAGGCATACAGAAAAACTTAATAGTCGACCAAAAGTTATGTTTTTTAAAAAAAAAATTGATGCGGATATATGATGTTCCACGTGTGGATCAGGAATTGAAGTTAGAGGGGGCCCCAAAAGTAAGCAAGATGTCTATGGGCTGCCCTGGTGGGGGCCCAAGAAGTCCGGAAGCTCCTGGATTATAGATATTTTGAAGGGTAAAAATGAGGTCTATCAAGTAGACCTATTTACTTTTTTGAGACAAAACTGATTTACGCTAACATTGACAATTTTAAGAGGTCGTTCGGTTGTGCCCCTCCCATTGAATCCGCCACTTGAATATGATGTATGCATGAGATCTTTCGTACTTGCAAGCCAATAACTGATTAGTGGTGGGTCTAAAGAGGAGTTGCATCCAACTGTTTAGGATTTGCTTTAAAAAGAGAGGGGGAGTCAAGAAACAGATTGTGTTTTGACTACATTTGAATCCACACTTTGCAAAAGTCATGTCCCTTGGTTGCCATACTTTGGGAAAATCCCATAGAATCCTTACAGTGGCCTTTTCATTTTTGTGGTTTGTAACTTTTAAATTTGAATTAGAAAATTATGTGTATAATGATTGCCCAAAGATGGGGCTATCTATATATATATTAAAAAAAATTAAACTAGTGGATTTATCAGAACACGTCCTAATCAGTGTGCGCCAAAAGGACTAGCCCGATGCCCGAACACTAGTAAAAATTCGATCGGGCTAGTAGAATGTAGCCCGATTGGTCTAGTGAAAAGTTGCATTTAACATTTATTTGTTGATAAATCTTTAAATGTAATAAAATAAGTATAAGAATTCTTATTGTTTCCTGTCTTTTTACATGTGTGTGGGTTTCTTTTGTTTAAGCGTGTCGAGAACTTTCTACAATCGGTCTTCTCTGTACAGTTTGGGTTTATAAAATACACATCAGCATTTACTTCCGGTTATGGCTGCGTTATATCAAATCAATATGAATTTTGACTGGTTTAAGCGAGACAACAAATTCATGTTGTAAATATGTGGGCTAGCAAAATCTGATTCGGACTAGTAATTGTTCTTCATTACTAGCCCGATTGGGCTAGTGCTGAAAAAAGTTTTTTGCGCACACTGCTAATGTTAAGTAGTGTAAAGAGAGGAAATGTCATTTCTTCCCCTTTTGACCTTCTGGTTGACCTAACGAAGGGACATAACTATTGTAATGTGTGGAATGGACTATAAATATTTATCAAAATGTTCTGTAAAAGTAAGAAGAGATGTAATAGTTGTTTCTAAATTTTTCAGGCAATATAGAATTCTTCCCCCTGGCTTGTCCCCACCCCCTCTTTTATGAAAAACAATTTTACTTTTAAGTATTTTTACTAGTCCCATACCAGTGGAACCATATGGGACTATATGTTTCCTCTGCGTCTCTCCATCCGACTGTCCCCGTCTGTCTGTCTGACTTGGTTTTCCACACTTTTTTTTCTAAACTCTTGTAGATATCAAGCTGAAATCTGGTATGTAAGTGTATCTTGATTAGTTACAGATCAATTTTTAATGTTGTAATTTTTAGCTCTACTGTAAAGAGACTAGTAGAGCTTATGCAATAGTAATTCCTCCGTCCATCCAGCTGTCCGTCTGTCTGTGAACAATTTTTCAAAATTCTACTCCTCCTACAGTTTTTGGTCTGATTTCAATATAACTTGGCACACAAGTAGAATGCACTAACATACATAATTATATTTATTGGTTTTTGATTTTGATGAACGGTGTTTCCGTGGTTACTAAGAATAGAAATTTCTGAGGAAAGCATTCAAAATGGCTAGCTCGACAAGATAATTGAATTTAACTTTTTTCAAATGGCTTGTTTGTACACATGTATCAGTATAATAATAATATTCAAAGCATATCATTGAGGGAGTCGGCAAGATTCCAGTTCCCCTGGAGCAAGCCTATTGTTTCCGCACAAGCGCTTTGGGAAATTAATAGACTTACTCTTGGGAAACTGGGATCTTGCCGACTCCCTCAATGATATATACTTTAACTGTACAGTGAATAAACAAATCCTGTGCATTTGTCAAGCAAGATATTCCTAGCTTTGAAAGCTGATTCCAAATTATATTCTTAAAACATTTGCCTATTTTTTTTTTGTAATACTTTAATTAGATTTTACATATAATTAATGAATAAAAATGATGTTCCAGATGTTTTGTGTGGAGTGTGGGACATGCCTAAATGGCCTTGCCAAATTTTGTGGCCACTGTGGGGCCCAAGTTCAAGGTATATATTAAAAGCAATCAACTCATGATCACTGAGAATATTTTAAATGCTTAAAGAATGTGTTTTGTAGGGTAAAGTTGTGTTCAACTTTTCAAAGTAGTGTGAACATTACTACACAATATTTTTTTCAAATTGTAACTGTCTGAATGTTTAAGAGCCATAAAAATCAGATATATGATTTGATCACAGAAATTGTGATGAAGAATAGGAGGCTAATAAATTGCTCAGGTGAACAAAGTAGTCCATGGGTCTCTTCTTTTTGAACTAGATGGAAATCATCTTGCTATGCCAGGAATGGTATCATAAATATTTACATATTATTAGGCTTAAAATAAAATATTGTTAGTTTGCAGTTGCCGACCAACCCACTGAAAATGCACCCAACCCAATCTTTCTTTTAGCTATTTTGTAATTTCTTTTTATCTCTCCAATTTTTCAGGATATTAAAACTGTTTCATTTTCAATTTTTGTCTTCATCAATCATGAGTTTATACAAAGAGTGCAACTTATTCATGTTTAGTAGGCCTATAAAAACCTCTATTTTTAACAAAAATATGGAAACAATTTTTTTTTCCCAAAAAGAAATTGCGTACCTACCTACCCAGAGTAAAAATTATAGGTCGGCAACTGCAAACAAAGAATTTTTTAAGCTTGGCCTTACATGTATTGTAATACTGGTATTATTGGTATGTGTTATATTGTTACAGTAGATAAAAATTCAGTTCCCACCTGCTCCAGTCAAGCAATGGAAATTGAAAGCCTCTCACCAGGTAATAGTTTTAAGCTTATAATATATTTAAAACCAGTACATGTTCATTTAAGGATAATGCACGCATTCAAGTGTACATGTATGTGTTTATCATTTATGAGTATGAAAATTGTAATATCTTATACAGAATTCATTCCTCTGACACATTTTTGAATTTTACTTTGCAAATCTTAAAATCTAGATGCGAAGAAAAGCTTGGCTCTTCTTAAGGCTAAATATTCACCTGCACTAAAGAAAGAGAAGAAAGAGAAGAAAGGTGCTAAGAGCAGTATTGATATGATTAATGTGAGTGTTCTTGTTGTGTTAAATACAATTTTTAGCTCACCTCAGTCGAAGGCTCAAGTGAGCTTTTCTGATCACATTTTGTCCATTGTCTGTCCATAAGTCTGTCCAGCTGTCCGTGTGCCTGCCCATCTGTAAACTTTCCACATTTTCGATGTTTTCTCAAGAACAACTGGGCCAATTTTGACCAAACATGGTACATAGCATTCTTGGGTGAAGGAGAATTTAAACTCTAAAAATAAAGAGCTAAGTCTCTTCTCAAATGGAGATAATCAAGAAAAAAAAATAAAATATGATCATTTTTCTGGCCCAGTAGTTCTTGAAAAGAACTTTAAATAACCCCATCTGATGGGGTTATTTAAAGTTCTTTTCAAGAACTACTGGGCCAGAAATGCTGAAACTTATGTGGAAGCATCTTGGGGTAGTGATCAAATTTTTACATAGAAATATATTGGAAAAACCTTTAAAGATATTTTTCTGAAGAACAAATGGGCTAGAAAAGCTGAAACCCATTGGCCACCATATTGGAGGCCAACATGCTCATGTTCCTTCATTATTCAAACATCTTTAACTTTTATATCTGGAAATTGTGGGATAAGAATGATTGTTTCTCTGGAAAATATACATTTGTTACTTCCTCCTTTATTTCATAATTTTTATTCCATAAAGATTTTTCCAAAAATATTTCTGCTACGTCATCTTACATTTGGTAAGCCTAATTGGAGAAATTGTCAGGCTGACCACCAAAGATGGTGGACAATGGAAATACCATGTGAACTTTAAATAACCCCATTTATGTGAACACTATCTATAAGAAGTATGTTCAAATATAGTTCCTGGTCAATATCTATAGGTTGCAGGATGAGCATGAATGTATTAGACTATTTCATTCTTTTTGCTACAAAGTTAAATTGTATTTTCTTTCATGCCTGTAAGAATTAGTAAAAAAAAATTATCAATCAATGATTTGCATTTAATTAGTAAGAAGTTGTTGTTTTCTTTAGAATGGAATGGTTTATTCAAATTGTCACAACATTATTTTTTGCCTTTCCGAAGAAATGGGGATGCATGCAACATTCAAATGAAAGCAGAAAACTTTCCATTCCATTGAAAAGTTTTACCACTTCAACTTGCTTCATTCTTCCTATTGAATGGATCCATTGTGCCAATATGAATATTTGAGAGATATATATTTTGTATATCATTTAATATTTGTTATTACTTCAGGATTGTGTTACATATATATAAAACTTGAATCTACAGTGGAGAAGTACATGTACATTTTTCAGCCAATTGAAATCCAGTGTTTCTTTTCCCCTATTCTTTCAAGCAGAAATCAGTTTGTGCATTGCATGCAAGTGAAGGTCCTACTATTTTTACAGTGATTATTGAACTTTACAGGATAAAACAATATTAGCTTTATTTATTGCACTCATCATAATTAAGAATATGAACTAAATTGGTATAAAGACAAAAAATAAATTACTAGTATTGATTTCATAAGATTTGCACTATATATACACACTTTCTTTTAGGAAATACAAATGCAAATTTTGGATGGGAAGAAGAAAGCTCTGAAAAGAGCTTTCCCCAGTGATACAGGATTGACAGGGGCTCTGAAATTGACAATTAAACCATCAGAAAATGCCACTGAGTGGATGAAAAGATTGAATGGTAAATTTAGTGGTAAGATCAACTTCATTCCATACATTATGGGGCCAGCGGGTCTAGAAGAAATAAATGAGCCCGAGGAATTCAACGTCAGTAGTCTTGCCTCCTTAAAGACACAAAAGAAGACTACTGGTACCTTAAAGATGTATGCCTTGGCAAAAGGCAAAGGTGAGAATTAAAAGCCCAGTAGTTTTATGTATTATTTACTAGAAAATTGATACTCATTTGCTAATTCAAGAAGAGTAAGAGCCATGAAATAATTTGATCCATCATTTTCTTGACTGACAAATGTAGTGACAGATGTTACTAAGTACAAAGATTGAATGCATTTTGGAAAGAAATAAAAAATTGTCTTCAATAATTTTTATGAAAGATATGCATTACCCATATAGTGTTAACATAATTAATTTATTGTAATATGAATGTATAATATGACCTTTATAGGAAGAGCAGAAATTATGGACAGTTTCAATAACTGCACACAGGTTAAAAGCTTAAAATGTATTTCAGACAACTGAGAAGCAATATTTGGCAAAATATATGTTTCTTCATGTTTTTATCTCTTCTGGTCAGAGTCCAGAGGAACTTAATTAAGGTGTCCATTGTCTGTTTTTCAAAATGCTACTCCTCAGTTTTGGTCTGATTTCAAATTACTACGGCATACAAGAAGACTGCGCTGAGATTCCTGATGAATTATGTTGCCATGGTTATTTAAAGCAAAATTTCTGTTAAATTTTTTTAAAAAGCTACTCCTCCTTCTGTTACCGTCTACATTAATAAATCTTGCGGTTGAAAAATTTTAAATCCAATTGGTACTTTTTGTCCTTGAATTGTTATAAGTACCGATCAGTAAAGTAATTGTCTCAATAGAGACTTTGTAAAAAAAAGATATGAAAACATGTCAGATATCAAATTTATGATAACAAAAATAAAGATAGTATAATTGAGAAATAGAATTGCAATTAATTGATCATTTGTAAGTACTGAAAGCTTAGTGATTGATGAATCTGATATGCAAAAACATTGCTGCTCAGTTGGCTATTTTATATTTTGTTATATATTTCAGTTTGAATGTTTTAAAATCTTTTTTTGTTTAATAGTTCTGAGCTAACCTGAAGTGACAGTCAAGCTTTTTTGGTTAAAATTTGTCAGTTGTCTGTCATCGTTATCATTGTCATTGTAAATTTTTTCATGTTTCCATCTTCAATCCACTAGGGCATTTTCAACCATACTTACTAAAAACAGATCACCAACATTTCGTGAGTACGCATCAGTAAACTGTTTACTGCTGCATTTTCACGAAGTGTTGGTGATCTTTTAAGTTTATAACTTTAGTTACAGACCCTATTGAATACGTTTTGGTATCCACACGTGAGAATCTTCCGCAATTTCAACCTGAAAGTGTTGGTCTCCAGCTTTTCTTTGTTTTGTATAAAATTTAAAGCTAATAGCTAAAAAACATATTCCTTTTCCTTCTTGAAAAATAATTGTCCATAAATTGTTTCAACTATTGTCTATATGATTATACCCCAAATGTCTTTTTCTTTTAAAAGATAACAAAATTCAGAAGTAAAAAAAATAATTTTTGTTAGGTCACACATATAGTATCTCTCATGACTCGTAGTAGGATATGAATTTTATCCAACAAGTTGTGTTGATTTTATCCCGTATCCTTGGCGAGGTGATAAAAACACACAACGAAAAATCATATCCAACTACAAATCATGTGATCGAGATTCTTTTTATCCCATGTTTTTTACACCATGAACAATGTTGGACACTGTTTTATAAGGACTCCATTTCATTTTGTTTCATCACTCTAACGCAAAAGTCACAACTGTGTGATGTGAAAACGATATCACATGAGCTATATCAATGGGATAAGAGGTTAAGCATGGGATAAAAAAAATAATCCTAGTTTTTTGATATTGCGTGAAATCACCTTCGAGAAATTAAATGTATTGTTAACATGTATAACTTATGAAGAACAAACCTGAGCATTTATTTTCACAACAAAGTACGTATACCTGTACCCAGGCATTATTTTAGCTTTCGTTACTATCCTTCCTTTTTAAAAAAAATCTTTAAAAATATCTGATTTTCCTTTAATTTTTTATTCTTTAAAAATGCATATTAATATGAAAAACACTGTGGATTGTAGTCAGTAAATTTCTTAATTTTTAAAAGATATATCATGACTTAGACTTTTACTGATGGGAAAAAAAATACCTAGGTTTAAATTCTCTTCATAATTAATATAACCGATAAATTTATTTTTTCAAACTTAAGGTGACTTCACAACAGATCTTAATTTCCCATCAGGAACTTCTGTTTGTCAATAAGGTTTTTGATCCATGTTTTCCATGTACTTTTATTGTTTGAGATAATATGTGCCTGTTTCTGATTAAGCAACTTAAATTGAATAAATAGAATTATTACTTGATACAGGGGAAACAATTTCCTGTTGTGTAGACTAAAAGATCATGGCTGACTTATATGATTTTTCTGGCCTATGGGCCACTTTTTAAAAGTGTTTGACTTGTTCACAAATATTTGTGTGAAATTTAGAAGTTTTAAGTTTATATCAGTGTAAGGCCAATCATGAATATTTGAATACTGTATACATGATTATTTTCGCCCCGTCTTATTTTCGCCCTTTCACACTTGCAAACAATTTTGCCCCGTTTTAAATTCGTCCAATCATGGTTTTGTTTAAGAAAATTTTACTGTATTCTTTGATTCGCCCCGTTTCATTCGCCCAAAAGACCGTAGGGCGAAAGGAGCGAAAATAAAACGGGGGCGAAAATTTCCCTGTATACAGTAATGTAAAAGTACATTTTTATGCTTGGTATCATTGAATTGACATTTATGTACAGTGTAACAGATTTTCTGCATAAATTTGCTCCAGCATACCTAAAGTACATAAAAGATTAATACAGATCGAGACTATATAAGAAATCTTTTTTCCATTTATTAAATTATGGAACCATTTATTATAACAGAAATTTCATTGTCCATGAACTTCTTAGACAACACTCGTATATACAT